CACACACACACACACACACACACATACACATCACTACCCTATAATTGCAAAGTTCTATCTGCTCAGTACCTAGTTTTTACCGATCTCCCCGCCAACCATCCGCATGTTTGTTTGTTCATATTATACTACCTTACAAATAATACTAGCAGACAACCTTTTCTTGGGCCCTGTTCAATCAATAAAATTTGTTTGTTTGTTTTCGTTTTTGTTTTTTAGTTGTTTTTTAAAATCTTCAATCTGTATTGTAATTTTTGACGATGATGATGATGATGATGATGATGATGATGATGATGATGGTGATGATGATGATGATGATGATGATGATTGAGCCATTAAAATTTTTAAAAACATTTTATATTGTTATGTTATTTTGTCTGAAATTCATACAAGACCCTCCCTCCTACTCTGCTTTCCAAATGATGATGATGATGATGATGATGATGATGATGATGATGATGATGATGATGATGATGATGCTAAATAAATATTTTTTAAAGTAACAATAAGTCAAAAATATTGTTCTTATTAAGTCAAAACAGGGTTCGAAAGTGTATTCAAAATGACAAGCGTTTTATCTCACCATCTTCATGATCGATAGTTCCGTTTGTGTGGGCAGATGTACTGTACAGTTCGCTGTTGTCCACTGTAACTGAGATATAATATAAGGGGAAAAAAATATGTGAGGCAGCATGGTGGAATCAGGCTCTCGTCAAAATAATGAAATCGAAGAAAACAGCAGTTTTCTCCATGCTTAGCAATTTTTATCAAATTTTCGTTTTTTGGCTCAACACCTTTTATGTCCATTTACAAACACATTTCTTTGAGGATTTCACCAAAAACGTTGATTAAAGGCAAAAAAATATAAATTTACAGTTTCCATGGACTCTCCAGCTTTGGAATCTACCAAGCTTTGGAGGCCATTTTCTGGCTAATTTTACCTCTTAAATCAGGTGACCTCCACCTCCTTCAATCCAAATATCTCCACTTCAATTGAAGATGGATGGGTAATATTTTTATTGAAAGCAAGACAAATGAACAAACTTTAAGATGATACCAATAACTCAATATGCCGAAAAATTGACGAGAGCCTGATTCCACCACGCTGCCTCCCAAATGTATTCAAGACAATCTTCAGAACTAAAATGAGTGAGTAAACGGCAAGAGAGCTAAGCGGAGACAAAAACAAAGACAGAAAATTATACACGTGTCCACGCACGCATGTGTATGTTCACACTCTGTGTGTGTGTGTGTGTGTGTGTGTGTGTGTGTGTGTGTGTGTGTGTGTGTGTGTGTGCC